GCTCCGCCATTTGCTTGCATATGCTTAAAGAGTTTTAACATAAGCAGTATTTTCCTTAACACGTAATTCGTATAGTGCCTAAAGGTATGCTACAACTTTTTAGTGCACAATAAAGTATCAGCGTTGCAAATTTGAGAAAATTGTTAGTTGAAAAAGTGGAAAGTTAGCTTATAAATCGAAAAATAAATTTGTTTCTGTAACAATTGTGCAAAATGTGAAACATTAAAAGCGTAAAATTTGTAACTTTTTGTATTTACTTCCATACTTTTAGGTGTTTGCTTACATAATGTGTATTATTTGTTTTTATTTTTGAACTTTTTATATGTACTGCTTTCACATCACTTTTCGCTATATGCTGCTTTTCTATCTATCTATCAAATTTCAGGGTTATATCCGTTTCAGTTTGCTTCGCCCGCTGTAGTTTTCAATTTCGGCTAGGAATCCTTTTTCCATTTATCCAATTTTTTTTCCTGACCAACTTTTTAAATTTTACTAACGCACAGCTAGCTTTCTTATTACCATATAGTCATGTACTTATTTCTTCGAACGCAAGGAGTTCTTTCAACTCTTTTATGTCGTTTATTTTTCACTTGAACGGATATGCCTTAGGCGGTTGCGTTCACAACTTCTACGCTGTAACGCATTTTTAGCGCTGCTTTGTTTCCATCTCACTGCCTTTTTCGCATTTGATTTCTGCGCAACAAATTTGTTTTGCCTTCGGCCTCTTAAGTGGCAAATCTAAGTTTCTTCTTTTCTTCGCTGTTGTTTATATATGAAGCCTTACGTTTTTTGTTTGTTTGTAATTTTCTATTTTATTCTATGTTCAAATGTTTTTGATTACATTCCACTTTTCTGGAGTTGCACAGATTTCGTTGATGATGGGTTCGCTTCCGTTTATTTCCGGTTTCTTTTAGAATATTGCTTGAAGAGCCGATGATTTTTTGGTTGGCATTTGCGAAGAGTGTTATTTTATTTTTATAGCGCAGTTATGTTGAGTTTTGATATACGAATAGCATGCTTTTAGGCGTTAAAGTGATGTAAAAAGGATGGAATTGTCAAGACGTAAGTTTGGTGTAAAAAAAACCGGTATATATACATATGTACATATTATGTAAACATAAAATAGAAAGTTATATAAACTTTTATAAGAGAACTTTTTCAGTTATATGTATGTTTAGGAGTCGGCGCTTTGTTGAGTTCTGTTTGGTTGTGATGTCTGAAGTTTATTTAAGCTGTGTAATTTAAGCTTAGCTAAGTCAAGTTAAGTTAAAATAAATTAAGTTAAGCTAGGTTAAGTTAAGACAGATTATTTTAAGTTGAGCTAAGTTAAGTTAAGTCAGATTAATTTAAGTTAAGTTATGTCGAGTTAAGTCAAGTTAAGTTAAAATAAGTTAGATTAATTTAAGTTAAGATAAGTTAAGTTAATTTAAGTTAAGTTAAGTTAAGGTTAAGAGCAAGTTAATTAGATTAAGTTATGGTTAGTTGGGCTAAATTAGTTAGTTAAGCTGCAAACTTTACGAAAGTCAAGTTAAATTATGTTTTGTTAAGTTAAGGTTAATGGTAAGTTAATTAGAGTTAGTTATGTAAAGTTGGATTAAATTAGTAAGTTAAGTTGCAATATGTTATGATGCGTTAAGTTAAGTCATACACAGCATGTTAGCTCCTGTTATATGTACCATATCAACTGTTTTCGCCTGTTCCTTTTCGAAGAGGGTTAACAACCATAAAGGAAAGTTTAGGATTTATGCCGCCACTTCCTCAAGCAAACATTGTTGCTCCAAGTTTGATTTCTGACTTTCCTTGTTCATTATTTCCGAAAACCGTTGCAAATTTTTAGATTTCTGAGACAATCTCCAAAACTGATTGTGCTCTTTTATATCTATTTACTCGTATATTGTCTCTTTACTAGTATATATCCTGCATATATTCAGCACACTTGAAGACTACGCAGTACTATATACTTCAACAGAAATACATTTGTATATACAAATGAGTGTTCTCACGTAATCTAAACAGCTTTGCGTGCATATAGGCGTTACTGTGCACACACACGCAACAGCAATCTAAAAATTTACACCAAAATACCTGTCTAAATTGAATGCCACGTCGATTCGCTGTTGGTTGATGTTGTCAAAAGAAGCAATTTACGTGCAAAATAACTCAAGTGTCATGCAAATTGCGTTTATTTTGGCAGCTGATATGGAAATGTGTGCCAAAAGAAAATAAAACGAAACGAAATAATAGAAAGAAAGAAAATATAAAACGCACCGCCAACACATTAATGAACTGCACGGCCGAGGTGGCGCTGTGGTGGAGGCTTTTTTTACTAAATAAAATTGAGAGAAAAATTTTATAAAATCGGGTGAAAAAAATTAAAAAAATTAAAAAAAAAAAAAATTTTTTTAGCTTACAAAATCGACATAGCAAGCACTAGTGCTTGTTGGTAAAGCTGTTAAATATTACACAACACCACCGCCACAACCACCAACAGCACCGCCATGCGCTTTATCTGGCACAATTTCGCGCTTTTGTTGTCAATTGCTCTTGTTAGCTGCAATGTTGTGCTTTACTATCGTTTCAGCTGTTGTTGTTGTTATTTTTGTTGTTATACCAGTCATAGTCTCCGCGACATATTTGTTGTTGCTATTGCTGGCGGTAATTTTGTTTTGCAAATTTCAATTTAATTTGGTTGTTTGCTTATTTGCCGCACACCCGCGCCTCTCCCGCACGGTTTCTCCCTCTCTCTCTCTCTGCCTCTCTCTCTCCACCTACACTACACTTCCCTGCTCGGCCTTCGTGCCAACCTGGCAAATTCAAGTGCTCATTATGCCAACAGGCATTTCTACGAATATTCGCTTATTTTGTAGATTTCGTAACTTTTGTTGTTGTTGTTGCGCTTGTTATAGCTGTTGTCATTGCTATTATGGTTCATTGTAAAAAAAATTGTTACTTTTCCCAGGTCGCTTATTGAATTGCGCGTTGCGGTGGAAATCCTGTTCTTTTCACTCTGCCGCGCGCTTCCTTTTCCATGAGCTGCCGTTCCATTGCTTCTCTTTTCCTCTCTTACTCGCTCTCACCACGCTTTGCAGCACATAATGAGATGTGCAAGTAATTTGGCTTTCAATTTATTTTGGTTGTTTATTTAACAATGTTGTTTTTATTTTTTACTTTATTTTTTGCTTTACATTGCCTCTTTTCTAATTTCCTTTTTGCTTTTTGCTTATTCTTGTCATTTCTGCTGTTGTTGTAAGGATGCGCGCGCGCTCGCTATTGTTTAATTGTTGAAAAATTTGAAAATTGCTGTTTGTTATGCCGAAATTGATTTCGATTTGTTTGTCGGACTCAGTTGGTTAGTTGCCTGAAGAATGCTTCAACCTAAGTGTACTAAACACACACACACGCGCAGTAGCATACTAGCTTACACTGCGCACAAGCGCCAAAACGCAAAAGGGACATACAAAGTATACACTTTTAGGCGTGCTTGTGACTACTTGAAAGTAGCTCACAGCGGAAGTTAAGCTTGACTTCATATAAATGCAGAAGTATGTAAAAGTTTGCGTTTGTGTGTGAGTGTGTGCAAGTGACAGTTGTAATTAAATTCGTAAAGCGCTTTCATTGCCACTTTTGTAATGTTCATACTAAAGTTTCTAACGCCCCTCTCTTATGCATTGGTGCTTTATTTGTTTTCGATTTTCGTGCGCAAATTGCTTAAAGTGAAGTGCTGTTGGAAAGCAGGGGTACTGAATTTTGCCTAAGGTGTTCCAAAATTGCGTTTGGAATGGATTATGAAGTGTGCTTTTCAGAAAGAAAAAAAACTAATTGGTTATTAGTTAATATGGTTATGGGGGTTTCTCTCGTATTAATAATTCATTTCCCGGCTTGTTATTTCGTGTTTACCTGATAATAGACTTACAACTTGTTCTGAGTAAAGAATGTGTGTGCTCGTTTAATATTGTAAATAATACAAATTAGTATTAACGCTAAGATATTACAACGAAAATTAGTAGAAATATATAACAGATCTGTTGGTTTCTGGGTCTTCATAAGAGTTTGCAAAGATTTATAAAAATTTTTTAGCTAAAAAAGATTTAAATGAATTATTTTATTACTTCAAGCAAACTGGAATTGTAAACATTATGTGATAACAGTTTGCGCTATACAATAAGTTAATCTAAAAAATCCCTCTTATGCACATGATTTTTTTGTAAATATATTTAGAGATTTTACACTGTCGAAATATTTTTGCATAGCCTGCGAGCTTTGGCACTTAATTTTACTTGACAGTAGAGGGAAATCAATCTATAAAATAAACAAAGGTGGTTGAGTTTATCAATATATTTTGTATGTGTGTTGGAACGTCTCTTCTTAATCATAAATAAAAATTAGCACACACCTACTATTTGCTTTAAGCCACTGGCGATTGATAAATTGTGTGTGATCCAATGTGAACGCATTTGTTTTTTCAATCAAATGTTCATGCAATATAAAATGTTGTTGACGCCTAAAGTAGTAAAAAATAATTGCACGGAAATGTTCGCGATTTGGATCCATTTTTTTGGCCGAGATGAATATTTTAAGTTACTGTAAACAACACAAAGAGCGCTCATAGGTCAAAACGTACTGAGTATGTATAACATCAAAAATCTCAAACTTTACGATAAAGTTTGAGTTTCTATTAAAGTTGCAACACTAAGGTTGCCAAATTCCGAAATCTAAAAGGCAACCTACGTATATGAAAAGCTTTTATTAAATTTTTGTATGATGCAAACGAAATCAGTGACGCTTTAGCTTTTTAGCTTTAATACATGGTATCTTTTTTATTTGCTTGTCATGATATGAATCACTGTTCTATCAGTTGATATTTGCTGTAAAGCTCTAAATCTTGATGTTCTATAATGCTATAACCACCACTTTTGCTACGAAATCTGTATATCCGCTCCGACTTTTATATTTATTTTTTCTTAAATACAACAATTATTGGATAAAAATTATTCACTCACCGGCATAGTTTGACTTCCGTGTAAATTGGTTATGGCGGACTGGGCCTCCTGTTGCGAACTAAATTTGACGAAAGCACAACCTGTAATGCACAAAAAAAGTGACACAAAATAAATTAGTGCGCAGTGTAATTGCTTTCAAGGTGTATATTTATATTTTTTAGAGCATAAACAGTTAATTGGAAAATGATAAATGCAGCGCACAACATAATATTTTAAAGTAATTAAACAAATTTGAAATGATGCTTTTTTGAAGATATAAACTTTTTTTTTATAAAATAAATGAAATTTAAAGCAATCAAAGTGCGGCCTATTAGGCGCTGTGCAATCACACGTAACGAGCTATGCGCGGTAGTGTGGCGGCAACTATGGTTTGGGTAATTAAAGCAGCAATGTTTTTGAACTATATTTCATTTTTATTGCCATATTTTACTTGTTTTGTTGTTGTTTTTTGTGTTTTTCCTTTTTTACTTTTTAAGCCGGTGAACAATTTAAAATCAGCTTTCGCCGACAATTTCCATTTGTTGTTTTGGCATGGTGCTATGATTTAAAAATTTCACATCACGCGGTTGCATTTAAAAAATTACCTTTTTCCCAACAAGCCGCGCCGCTGTCGCTGCCTTCGCTAATTATTTTGTAATTTGCTGTCGAGCATCACGCGGAAAAAAATGAAAATGGAAATAAAATATTACAGAAAAAAGCATTAAAAATAAATTTCACATAACTGGTACGCGTAATGCTTTAATAACCGCACACGCGCATGCACACAGCCTTGCATGCAAGTACTTATGCATGTATTGTATGTAAGTGTGCGGCTGTGCGCTTGCAACGCAGTCGCTCAGTTATTTGTGCGCGAACGTTTTGTGGCCGCAGCTTTATATTATACATACACAGGCAGAAGGTGTGTATGTGTGTGTGTGTGTGCGCGCTGGAGGCCTTCTTGCCACATCCATGTGTGCAATTGGCAGTTGGCTTTGACGCTTTTCCATTTTAATTTCCAACGCAATAAAACCTTGGCGGTGACAACAACAACAAATTACTACAACCACAGTGGCAACGGGCAACCACAATCATAGGTTGCATGTTGCTGCAGCTAATGATGTTGCCATGCCAGTATGCGCCTGTGTGTGCTTGTGTTGCAAGTGACATTGTTGCCGCGGCAACGCGTTTGCCACCAACCGCGAGCTGCTGGCACTACAACAACAACAACAACAGCAACAAAAGTATTAATAGCGCGGTGCGGCAGTTACCTGACAGTCAATTGCAGCAGCAACAGCAACAACAACAACAACGAGCGCCAGCCAGCTAGTGCTGACGAAGGCGTTCATCTGTGCGGTTCAGTGGCGCTCGTCTTTTCACCTCCGCTATACGTTTTCTTTGTCTACAATTCAGCGTTTGTGGTTTTGCGCAAAGTTGAGTTTGCTGTAAGCAGTCGGAAGCGGTGCTACATTTGTGGGTGCGAGGGTGGGCGGGTGTGTGCGTGTATGTTGTTGAATGCTGCTCGTTGCACCCACTGGTAAGTGAAGCTTTATCGTGGATGCGAGGTACGGTGTATTGGTTGCAATGGTTGGTCATAAAGTAGACGAAGTGGCTTGGGAAGGCGGTTTGTTTTTAGCTTAATGAGTGATAAAGGGACGGAGAGAGTGTAATAACATCATATTTATGATTCGAGATATGCATTGCTATGTAGAGTGCTGCAGTTGTTTATTTATTGACTTTTTTTGTGCGTTCATTGAAGAAGATAAGAAATTTTGCGGGTAAGACGGAACTTCAATTTGTTCTATGGCTCTTAAAAGGTTCTAAAAGTCAAAACTCTTATGAAAAAAATGTTGTTTTTTTTTCTATTAGCATTTTTGATTAATGGCCCTTATAAGTGATTCATGTGATGTTAAATTCAGTATATGAAGCTAACGTATTTGTTAACGCTTTTATAAAGTCATTGCTAAAGCGAACTTTTCAATAGTCTGCTAATATGTGTTAATACTACTGCTACTGTTGTTGCTTATCGGCCTTAAAGCCAAGCCTAAGCTTAAATAGGCAATAAAGTAATGAACATTGTACGAAAGTACAAAGGTTTTGAAAAATATTTTTAAATATAAGCTAAAAGCAATAAAAGGGTCACATCGGCTGCAGCGAAGCTATTATTCGCTTCACAGGTGAATTTATTAGTGCAGAAAATTAAATAAAAAGATTATTATCGTCTCTAATATCATGCAGAAATACACCCAGAACAGCATTTCAAAAATAGCTTTTATTTATTTATTGAAAAAACGAGCAAACATACAGCGTCTAACCTCACTTTTGAAGCCCAAATTACAATGGCAATAACAACATAGATATTGCGCTGGTAAAAATTAATTATGCTGACGAAATCGTACAAAAATCAAAATAAATAATAAGTACTAAAATATATGCACAAGTTATTCCACAAAAAAAAAAATTCTTTAATTACTGTTTATATTAAGTTATTAAATAGATTAATCCGTCATGTTTTAATAAATTACTTTAAAAACTTTTTTGTGTACAACTAAAAACAAAAAAAAAGTTTCTGCTTCAAATATTTGCACATTTTCCTTTATTTCAATTAAGTTTTGCAAATGAAAAATTAATTATCTCCATATCAACGGCAAACATAATGAATGGGAAAAGCATTTTGTTGTTTAATTGTTGAACAACATCATCATTGTCAACTAAAGCATGAAAATGCAATAAAAAAATATTGCAGTTTTAATATATTAAAATTAGTTTGCAAAAACTTTTCAACATGTGTGCACAGCACATAATGCAGTAACAAAATTTTTAATTAATTAAATTAATTACGCAAATTTTTAACAAAAACAAATGTATGTATGTGTAGGCATATCTATATATAAAACTGTGCAACTAAATAAGGTAAAATAGTAAAACAAACAATTTTATGTATTATGAGTGCATAGCGAATAGCTATGTATGTGTGTATGCTCACTAACAAGGTTGCTATGTGCTTTAGTTAATCAGTAAAATGAGTTTTGCAATACAAGGAAAATATGCTGATTTTCCAGAAATGTTTGAAAAATTTATTTATACGAGCAAATTTTTTTAATAAAAAAAATTTATATCTACCTATGAGTTTTAAAAATTTACTACTTTTGTATGTGTATGGAATGTACATGTATTTGAGAACTTTTTTTTATAGTTTAAAGTTGAGTTATCAAATGGTTTCGGTAATATGAGCGTAATTCTAAGAATTTCTTTACTTAGTGTTAACTGTTTTCAGAATTTTAAACGCGTTTTTCCCGAAACGTGGATTTTAGAGTCGATGGTGTAAATTTCTCCGAAACGAAGTTGCAGCTTTCATCCAAATAACCTTTCGTTGTTATTCAAGCAGCCTTTTTCTTGTCATCCTAGTACCCTGACACTGGGATTCAGTTTGTCAATAGTCCCATCAAAAAAAAAAAATAAATTGTAGTAAATCGATTTTTAAGCTATTTTGAAGTTTAAATTAATTCAAGAAATCCGACTTATTTTTGTCAAAAATCAAAATTTGTACTTGTACTTATTACCGTTACTGTCATTCATCTATAGTTATAAAATTTTGTTTTAGTTTCTTAATTTGAGGTAGCCTCTTTTCCGAAGTCCCCCTGAAGATCGGCTACGGAATCAAGTGAATGCAAAATTTGTTAGTATATTATTTTTATTTAATTAATTAATCAAATGCTTCTTCAAAAAACAAAAACTAAAAACAAAAATAAAAATTCACAAAAAAGTGCTACTGACTTGCAAGTGCTTGCTTTCTATTTCCAATCACTCATTGCTTACTCATCCATCAAAATTTATTTTATTTGTGTTTTTGTTTTAGTTTCTCAAGTAATTTGAATTAACTTCATATTTATTAACATGAAAACTCACTTAAATCCACTCAGCTTGCAGCTTTTACAATACATTAAGACTGCGTGGATGGCTACCCAATATAACATTTCATTAATATACTTTTAGGCGTAAAAGCTGTTTCAGAAATATAACTGCACGCAAACATATATTAAGTAAAACTATCAACCAATAGCCAAACAAAAAAAAAAAAAAGGAGATGTTTATTTAGAGCAAGAAACAAATTTTGCATTTTCCTGCATAAACTTTTCGAACACATAATTCTATTACTTAGTTTAGTTTCGGTGGATAGAGGGTTGGCTGCTTAGAGAAAGGTAGAAAAGCGCTGCTAAAAGTATGTTGTTACTAAAATGTAGTGTCTAAAACAGAAAATAAAAAATAAATTAAATGATGAAAATTATTAAACAGTCTTTAAAGTCATAACTAGCTTAAAAAGTTGCCATCTTTATATAGAAAAAAAGCAGTATATTTAGAAAGCCAATCTATGAGTGGACTAATGCAGGCCGGCTGTAAACAAAAATTCAAAAAATATTAATTTGAAGTGAAAGCCAGCATTCCCACCCCTCTGCGCTCACACACTTCAGTGAATATGCATATATAATTTTCATGCTTTGTTGCCTTGCGACGGCATAACAGTAGAAGTTTACACAAGAGTCTAATTGAACATAGCAAAGCGCTAAATATCTTTTCTCCTGCCTCTTTCAATCCACTGCTCGGAAGCAACTTTATGCAAACTAATTTTAAAGACTTGTTCAGACTTTTTTTCCTTTGATGTATAGGTTATGTTGGCCTCTGGTGTTTTGAAATTAACTTATCATAATCCATCATGAACAGCATAGGCAACAGTTGATTATTGCTGAGATGTTAGAAAAGTGGATGAGGGGTTTGTTTGGAGTAGTCCTAAATAAACGCTTCGTAGAAGCCGAAGAAGAGTAGATGGAATAATTGCATGGAGACAATGTAAATATAAATACAGAAAATTGATAAGGCGAAGGCAGAACAAATAGCTTAGGTCGAGTCGAGTAAGTACAAACGAAGCACTTTCCAAAGTGGTGAATTCTCATTATTCGAAAATTGCGAACTCAGAGGCTTTGTAATTGTACATACTAAGTATCACTTTTTAAGATTGATACAGAAATCGCTAGATGGCGCTAAAATCATTTATGAAGAAAACCATGCTCCTATCTATCTGATGCATATGCGCAGTGATTGTGAT